CAGACACGGACTCCTAACATATATATAGTGTGGACCCCCACTGCCTCATTTTCTGCATCCTGGGACCCAGATCCATGACTCTGAGACTGTTTTACTAGGCTTTTCCTCACCAGGGGCCTTCCTGACACATTGCATAAAGCCATATTCCTGGTCTTAACCATGCTAAGTGTTGTTCTGCAGTGTCTGAGTCATCCTCTTCCCCATCTGCCACACTGCCCAAAGGCTGGACATGGTTGCCATGGTGATCTCTCCAGTACAGAGCTCTGAGGATAGGTCTCTGGCCCCAAAAGATGTAATTTCCTGCCTGCTAAGGCGTCATGAGCACACTTCAAGGGGTTTTTAAGAGTCTAGGTGCAATGAAAACATCGGCAGACATTTAAAAATAAATCAGCTATCGCAAAGAGTTATTTGATTAAAAAATTATGACTCACTTTCCCATTGAAAAGAGAAACCATTTGTTCAGAAGTCGTAGAGGGACATCAGCCCCACCCTCATTGCAAGATAAGCTCCAGAAGCCCCAGCACATATACTTAAGCTGCCTTGGTAAATCTCACGGGAACAAAGGGAATAGACAGATTGGGAGCCTTCCATTGTATTCCAGAATCATAGGGCTGTGCAAGTACATATGGCATTGCCAAGATGGGACATTCAGAGTATAATATCATTATATGATAATGGGCTCTGAGACCCCAGGAAAATCCTGGGGAGGAATCTGGGGGGTTACAGAGGAAAATAAACAGGACTAAGAACTGGAAAGGAGTCTGGTTCCAGGCACAGGTACTGCATGCAGTATTTCAACTGATCACAGGCTCCATGTTATGCACTGCTGTTAGCAGTGTTCTTGTTCACATCTGCATTCTCAACCTGAGTGCCTACATCACTATTTAGTGGACAACTGGAGAACCACAGGATCCATATTTTTTGTGGCACTGTATCTGGGGCCCTCCTGGCAACAATATCACTTTCCATTTGTTGATTCATCTGATACTAGTTCAGAACACTATGGGAGAAAGGGAGGGTAGGATGAACATTGATGTGAAACCATTCCTGTGAGGAATTGCCCTCAGCCATAGAGCAGACACTCTGAAATGCTCTGTCTGCAAATGTCCTACTAAACAGAAATTCAACTAAACATCATATTTTGCAGAGGCATCATCCATCTGATCTCTCAAGACTTTTTCTAATCTTATGAAATAAGGTGATATTCAAGGAGCTATGAGGATAGGGGCCCTCTGAATGTTCAGGACTGACCAGGCACTCTTAGATTCCTCTCCAGAAGAAATGGTAGCGTGAAACTTACCACTATGATTAACTAGGAACCTGAGGCCGATCTATAAACTTCACAATCTGACTAAGGGATAGGAGCCATACATATGGCCTACTCCTTGGTTGCCTCACAAATTGGCTATCTGGTAATCTTTGTATACAAGAGAAGAAAATGGGTTCTCCAAAGAGGTTGCTCTAGAGTCTAGAGTCTAGGCCTTGCTAGCATCATTAGTGACAGGCAGGATTTGTGCTGCACTTACTCCTCCGCCAGGTTTTGGGAATTATTTGAGAATTTGAAGAAGTGTGAAATATACAAGACATATGAGCAAATGGGAGAAAGGGGGTACTGGGTAGGGGAACACAATGGGGAAGGAGACTGTTAATTTACTATTCCCGCAACAAAACACCATGACCAATGTAGGGCGCCTTCATTTCCTGCCTCTCAAGCAGCTTCGGCCCTGCCCCAAGGCGCTTGGCCTGCTTTCCCGAATGGCGCTATCCAGCCGCCAATCGTGAGCTGACTCGTAAAATCAGGAGCGGCCAGAGCCATTCAGACTTGGACACGTCTCAGGCTTTGTTCTGCACGGCTTATAAGCCATGCGCGCCAGGGTCCGGGGTCCTTCGCCATCAACCTCAAGTTGTGCGCTGCCAATAAAAGTACATTCTAAGAAGAATCCTGTTGCGATCGTCTCTTCTGCTGGCGGAGGCGGCGTGCCACAGACCAAGGCAATGTATAAAATAAGCATCTAATTCAACTTACACTTTCAGAGGGTTAAAATCCGCAACGATAGAACAAAGGCATGACAGCAGGAACAGTAGAGAGCTCACATTTTAAACCTCCACAAGAAGGAAAAGAGACAAACTGGGAAGGGCATGGGTTTCTGAAACCTCAAAGCCTGTCTGCAGTGACACTGCTCTCTTCAACAAGGCCATACTCCTAATCCTTCCCAAGCAGTTCTAACCACTGAGAAAACAAGTATTCCATACACATGAGTATATGGGGGTCACTCTCATCGAAACCACCACAGAGGCCATGGGTGAACAGTGAGAAAATTGAAGCCTGGAATTAGAGGAATGCGTTCTCAGAGGATGAAGAACACAGACAGGATCAGGATTTTGGAGACGTGTTGGGGTTAGAGTGGACAGGGCTCCTGCAGAGCTTTCTGGACAGGATGGTCATGGATTCAGGAACTCACGATGGGGCCACACACTAGTCGTCTTTTCAGGATACCAATAAGGGTGTCACTCCAGTGCCACTGTTGTTTGACATACAGGTAAAGCACATATGGAAGGTCACCAGGAGTAACCGAATAATGGGCTTAAGCAGTCATCTTCTAGTTTGTATTCTGTTGCCGTGATAAACAACATGACCAAAAGCAACTTGGGAGGAGAGGATTTACAGGTTATGGTTCATCATCAAGTGAAGCCAAGGCAAGAACTCAAGGCAGAAACCGAAAGGCAAGAACTGAAAAAGAAACCATGGAGGAATGTTGTGTACGGGCTTGCCTCCCCTAGCTTGCTTAGTTACCTTTGTTATACAATCCGGGATCACTTAACCAATTTTGGTACCACACGCTGTGGGCTGACCCTCCCATATCAATCAGCAGTATAGAAACTCAGTATATGAACCCACAGATATGCCCAAAGATCAGTCTGGCGGAGACAGTTGTTCAGAACTCACTCATGGTTTTCTGGACTTTAAAAGGCTTGGGTAGTTCTACTACTCCAGTTCTACCATCTGCAGACAAAGTTTATCTGGTAGGCTCATGCCCGTCAGCTCCATTCTACAGCTGTGAGTGTCTTACGTGGCTGTCCTAAGGTCTGGGAATCTCCCATATCCCTGGGTATTCACTGCAACTGAAACTAAACTTTCACCAGTGACCTCCTACAGTGCCAAGTCTCAGCTGCTGTTCATCATGACTGTTTTGCCCTTCAAAACCAGTACCACATGGAGGAGACTGTACTATATTTTCAGGCTTGACCTCTGGTTTAAGAACCAGCTTTACCCCCACCCCATGCCCCGGACCACAGTTCTGTGTGCTGACCCTGGGAAAACACCTCTCAGATGACTTCACGCCAGTGATGATTGTCTCTTGTTAATCACAACAGATTTTTCAGTCCCACCTAACAAGCATCACACGTGAACAGTGTCGCAGTAAAGCAAAGGTTTCTTTTCAATGGTGTTGGACTCTTGTAAATCACAGCTGATTTTTCAGCCACAGCTGAGAACCAGAAAGTACAGGTTCTTACTTCAAATATATCACATGAATGGACCATGAATAGGGTCTTTGAGGGATTCTCAAACTTCCATCTTACATTTGACAAACTGTGCTTCCTTCATCTAATTTGTCTCAAGTTATCTCCTAAGCGGCCACAAAATAGTCTGAGTCCTCAAATGGTTTTTCCATCCCGCAGCCTCAAGTTGTCCACCTTCCTCCCACAAGAGTCTATGCCAAAAGCAACACATTCAGGTCCATTGCAGAAACAACTCTGCTCTTCTGGTACCAATTTCAGTTCTTGTTTACTTTCTGTTGTTGTGATAAACACCACAACCAAAAGAAACTTGGGAAAGAAAGGGTTAATTTGGTTTACAGGTTATAATCTATCATCAAGGGAAGCCAAGATGTCAACTCAGGATAGGAATTAGGAGGTAGGAATGGAATTAAAGACTGTGGAAGAACCCTTCTTACTGGCTTGCTTCCCCTGGCTTTCTCCACTTGCTTTCTTATACATCCCAGACCCACCCGCCCAGGCACAACATCACCCACAGTAGTCTGGGCTATTCTACATCAGTCACTAATGAAGAAAATAACCTATAGACATTTCCACAGATTAGTCTGATGGGGGTAAATCCTCAATTTCACTTCTTTCCCAGGTGACTCTAGCTTGTTTCAAGTTGACAAAAACTAACCAACACAAGCCACAACCGCTTTTGGCAGATTTCCACAATCAAATCTACAGCTGGAATGTATAGAGGGGAAACTGTTTGGACACCACTAACACCTGATCTTGGGGTACAAAGATGGCAGCTCTGAGGCTAAGAGGTCAGCATGAGGAATCAGAATACAGTGGAGTAACTTCCTGTCAGCAATATCATGAAGTAGATACCCAGAAGAAGTGTCCCAAATACAAAGCTTAGGAAAAGAGAGGGCAGCAGGGTTAGACACTTGTTAAGGTGGGGGACTATCAGAGATCAGGTGGCCCACTCAGCATCTATGGTCTTGAAAATCTCTCTTTGGTCCCAGTCCCTTCTGCTGTGCCTCAGAAGGGATTTGGGATCATCAAGATTACACATAAAAACTAATACAACATGATAAAGTTTTCCTTCCCAGTTCTCTGATAACAGAATGAAAGTCATACATTGAGCTTGCAGGCTTGAATGCTCCACTATCAACAATGGAGACTCAAGGTAGATAACTGTACAACTAACTGAGTGCACACTTAATGCCAATTTTGGATCTACTTTCTTTCCCATATATGGGAACCTAATGAAGGTCCATGATTTTTAGTCAAGTCAATTTAAACTTTAGCAAAAGCCATTGATGCATAGCAGAAAATGGCAAAGAAAGGAGCTCCAAAGGCAGATAAGAAACAGCCAAAATGTCAGCCAACTCTTTTGGAGCTTCAGAAACCAATTAAAAGCTCACAGAAAAAAGAGGGTATTAAACTGAAGGTGGCAGGCAGACAACAGAGCAAATACCTACAACAGCTACAGAACCACAGTTGAGAGCACAAACCTTGACACAAGAAATTGCAGCTGGTTGTGATGCTTGCGGATGTTCTGAGAACTGGAATGCAGGGTTGAGTACCATCCCACCTAAAGACAGAGACATTAATTATTATTAGTCACTAGTGCCAGGGACAAGAATTGAAGCTAAAGTGAAAGAGAAACCAAATGAAAATTTTCTGGAAGATGACGGCACAGAGTCTAGAAAAATACGGAGAGCTGCAAAAGCCCGAAGCTTTCTCAGAGGACTGACCCATAAGCTCTGAAGATTGGGAAGAGTGCAAGTAGTCTTGAATATGAGTCCTTTTGCAAGCTCTGAGAGGTTTTCTTTGGTCCCACGGGCACAAGGAAATCCACGTTTCTGGTCTGAAACCTAACTCAGTGGTAGAGTACTGAGGAGGTTTGAGTGAGAATGGCCCCATAGATTCCCATTTGGTAGAACTGTTTAGGAATGTGTGATGGTTTGGTTGTCAACGTGACTACATTTGGAATTAACTAAAACTCAAATGGCTGGGAACACCAGTGAGGAATTTTTTTTTAAAAAAATTAAATCAACTGACGTGGGAAGATCCACTTTTAATATGGATCTTTGGAGTTGGAAGATCCACCTTTAATCTGAGCCACACGTTCTGTGGATAGACTACATAAAGGGCATTGAAGAAGGAAGCTTGCCCTCTCTTTGCCTCCTTGTTCTTGCTCTCACCAGCAAGTCCATTCCTAACACTGCATTAGAAGCGACTTCTTTGGGATTCTGGCATATACAGCCAAGGCATCCAGCCTCATGGACCGAACAACTACTGAATTCTTGAACCTTCTGTTGGTAGATAGCCACTATTGAACTAGCTGGACCGCAACCTGTAAGTAATTCTAATAAATCCTCTCTCTCTCTACATACATAAATACACACACACACACACACATTTGTATACTCTGTTCCTCTAGAGAGACCACCCAACCAATACAAAGGATTAGAAGGTGTGGCCTTGTTGGTGAAGGGTATGTTAGTGGGGATCGGCTTTGAGTTTTCAAAAGCTCATGCCAGGCCAGTCTTCTCTTTGCTGTGTACTTCTGGATCAGATGTAAACTCTTAGCTACTGCCCCAGCACCCTGCCTGCCCGGCTTGTGCCATGTTCCCCACCACAGTGGTCATGGACTCACTCTATAACTGTAGGAAATCTCTCAATTAAATGCTTTATTTATTTATGACCTTGGTCATACTGTCTTATCACATCAATACAATAGTAAATAGGACAAGCACTAAGCTAGCATAGGTGAAGCCCTGGATTTAAAAGATCCCCAATACCACACACACACATACACACACACACACACACACACTCACCACAATCTGAATAATCATTAGCTGATCACAAAATTAACAGTATATAGTTTCATAATTAATAAACAGAGCTTCCAGTGCTCATCCTCCCTTTATCCTATTGCTCCTCCTATGAAATGAATGAAATTCTGTTCTTTTCTTTTTTGAGATGGGGTTTCTTTGTGTGACAGTCCTGGCTGTCCTGGAACTCACTTTGTAGTCCAGGCTGGCCTCGAACTCACTGGGGTTCACCTGCCTCTGCCTCCCAAGTGCTGGGATTACAGGTGTGTGCCATCACCACCCGGTTGAAATTCATTTCTATATTCAGATTATCCAGTGTCCACTGTGGACAACTAAACTGAATCAGAGCTTCTAACATGTGCCTCAGTTGGAAAAGACAGGACCATGGTTAGAAATTATATCACTCAGAATAAAACTCAAAGTCCTATGCTAATGGTATTTGAAGTTGGGGCCCATTCTCTCCCCTCTTCCGCACTTCCCTCCATTACCCTTTTCATACACATCCCATTTTGGCTGCCTTTGGCAGCTTGCCTTGGAAGATGCTACAGGTTTACCAAAAAAGATAGCCAATTTGGGGTAGCTAACCCCAGGAAGAGCTCTAGGTTCCTGGATGGCTCTCCAATTTGGAATCACACACTTCATCAGACTTGCCACTGCATGACAGAAACAAGTTGGCCCAGAGGAAAGATGGTAGTAAAGAAAAAGACATCATTGGTATGAGCTATCTCTGCTGAAGCTATCTCTGTCGCGACCATAGACACCTTGATTCAGGATACTTTATGACATGAATCATCGCAGACAAGTGAGAGATTCTGAAAAAAATGACATGATCTCCTAAGCACAAGATGTTTTCCAGTTCAGCAAATTTCAAGAACAAAGATCATTACTTCCTAACTTTATTCTTCTTACTGACTTGTATCCGTAAGTGCAGTTTGTACCATATTACAAAAACAGTAGGCAGGGCAGTGCTTCTCATCCTTCCTAACACTCTGACCCTTTAACACAGTCCCTCATGTTGCAGTGACTCCTGACCATAAAATTATTTTTTACTACTTCTTAACTGTAATTTTACTACTGTTATGGAACATAATGTACTTATCTCGTGTTTTGTGTTTTCTGATGGTCTTAGATGATCCCCGTGAGAGGATCCTTTGACACCCAAAGTGGTTGAGACGCACATAACTACAGGCTGGCAGCCCTGAGCTCTGATTGCTAGTCATCAAATTGGTAGTTATAAAAGCAAATGCATTCCTCTGATTATTGTGAATACAGACAGTCAGGTGAGCTAAATGAAGAGTTGGGTAGAAGACCAGCTAGCAATGCTTAGTTTACAAACCATGTTGGAAAATACCATGGAATTTTATAAAGAACTTGAACACTTGAACCTACAATAAAATTCGATCATTCTATGCATAAGTGTCTTCCAAGACCAGGTTAAGGCATACATTCAGAAACCTTGTAGACAGATACCCAGAAAAGCTTGATTTAAAGTAGCCATAGATTAGAAACTTCCAAATGTCCATCAGAAGCTGAGCACATAAACAAACTGCTGTGTAACTAAGCAGGAAAACACTAGACAGCAAAGAAAGCAGACAGAACCTTAGCCAAGGCATCAGAATAAGAAAATCTCAAAAGTAATCGCTATTAGGATTGAAAGAAGCCAGATGCTTCAAAAGGCCCATACCATGTCATGTGTGTCTAGGTGGGGATTTGACAATCAGCATTTGTGCACAATCCCAGAAAATACGAAGAAGCTCTCATTTCCCGAAAGCATATCTGTGTTTGCCTAGAGACAGGGAGGAGAGTGTCAGGGTGAGGGAGAGGGAAGTGTTTTCAAGGGCTTGAGAACATGTTCTTAGTTGTGGCGAATATTCTACCTGCCACGTGTCAAACCGACCCGGTTGCATACTTGAAATATGAACATTTTGTCGTGGATCAGAAATATATCTCAATACAGCCTCAAAAAGCCATGGGAAGAAAAACCACCTAGAAAATCATTAAACTCTCTGGAAACAGGAAGTCACTAAACTCGTTAACCATTGCTGTCTCTGATACAAAGAAAGAGGGATTCAGTGCTGCAATACCACCAGAAGAAACAATGTTAGAAACGGTACAAACGTGAGTCAAGATGAGAAAAGCACAGCTCCGGGAAGTGAATGAACCCCAAGCAAACCTATATGAAAGGCTCACAAAGAGAAAGCGGCTTCCAAACGACAGACAGACAACTTCTAAAAGGCATGTGTCTTGGATACTTTTCTACTTCTGTGACAAAATACCATGAGCAACGCAACTTATGGAAGAGTTCACTAGAGCTTGCTTGCAGTTTCAGAGGATTAATCCATAACTATAATGGTCGGGAGCATGGCAGCGGCAGGAAGGTTGCTGTTGGAGCAGTAGCTGGGAACAAAGATCTTGATCCATTAGCAAGAGGCACAGAAACGGCCAACTGGGAATTTGTGTGGGCAGGAAAAGCAGCTCAACACTAGGGATCCCTGTGTTCTCTGAACCCAGAATATGTGGGTTCTGTGGGGACTGTTAATCATTAACCACCTGTGCAGCCGTGGCCTCTGTAGTGACAGCACAGGTTTGCTCACAGCACAACATGGTGATTTTCACGATCAACAGTGGAACAGAACTGCCTTGTGTTGAGCCATCTCCCAGATTCCGCACTCAGGAAACTCGGTTGAATAGCACTGGACCAAAATGTTGTCAAGGATAAAATGGAGATGGTGTGCATCCATAGACGATTGCAGGCTGAATATTTAATGACCAATTGTCTGCCTGCCCTTTGAGGACTTGCATGTGTAGGGGACAGATACATGGAGTGTATTTGGTGATTGAGGCACTGAGTCCAAGTTGAACTCACATGTACAGAGCGGTCAGAAGATCCTGGGACAATGAAAAGGATAAGATACAAACCCCCAAGAGGGTTCACCTCCTTTATGCCTTCTGGACAATATAGGTGTAGAGGAGGAGGGGAGGCTCCTCATCTTGACTGACTGAGACCTTACCACACTGAGAGGGAGTCAATGGTCCGACTGTTAGGCAGAGCGGAATCTGAACTGACAACAATCTATAGAACTCACACTTTAGTAACCCATGAACTGTCGCTGCATAGACTTATTAGACACCGGTAATATTGTTCCAACGATAGCACAGCAGCATCCAAAGGAACCCAGTACATTTGCGCTACAGCAAAGCATTACCTTTTGTGGAGTGTGTCCAGATGTGTCCCAGTAAGATTCTGAAAGAGAAGACAGAAAACATTCCTGACTCAACATTTTGTTGGGCAGGTAGGTAGCTTCACACATCTTGGGTCCTTTTCTTGGGGACAGAAGCACCAGGCTTTCATAGGCTCATTTGCAAAACCCTTGGACCAACTTGACAAAAAACAGTGGATCCTAAAGTTGCTCTATTTGGGAGAAGGTCTACAGAGGGGGTTAGCTATATGAGTTCATGTCAGAGAATCAGTCAGTGGCTTGGAGTGAGATGTGGCCTTTAGCAATGACTGAAGCCAGGAGGTCAGACTCCCTCCACACTGACTCTTTGATCCTGGTCAGGGAGAAATGTCCAGACATCCAGGGGTACAAGAAAGAAAACCAGATGAACAAGACATCCTCAGGACAGGGGGAGAAGAGATTCATAAACAGTCTATTGTATTGGGCATTGAATGCATGCCAGGTGCTGGGGAAAAACATGGGCCATGCATGACCACTTTTCATGCTCATAAATACCTCTCTGTACAGCCTAGGACTCCAAAGGGAAGGAAAAGCAAAGAGAATACACTAACGTGTCCAAGGTGAGCCCCTCTCCTAAGCCACTGCTGCATCTCAGGCACAGTTATGTGACACTCCTGTAAAGTGCGCATGATTATGACAGACAGGCCCAGTGAAAACCTGAAACGTGATGGAAGGTGAATTGGTTACCAGATAAAAGAGTGTCACCAGAGAAAAAAGCATACAGAGGATGCTTGTGGCTGAGTCCTGAGCCCTCTTGGCTTTTGGTTTCAAAGTGGGATTAGAGCAAAGGGACCACCCTGAAGGAAACTGTCAGAATCCTTCTGGAGAGCTTCAAACGTACCAACTTCAGGAAGGAACGAAAGTGCAAAGGCGTAAGTCTTAGCCCTAAGTTCTGGCTCCAAGTCAGCTTTGTTCCCAGGTCCACCTCCTACATGTCTGAGGTAGCAGGTGGCCAGCAGTGCATCAGAGCAGCAAGAACTGCTTCTTAATATCTCCGGCCCATCCTGAGAACAAATGCCAACCTTTGTGAGACCTGACTACTCAGGCAAGACAGAGAGCAAAGAGCCAAAGGGGTTCCCAACTTCAGGGACGGGGTAGAGCAGGGAGCACAGACAGAAAGTAAGAGAGGAGGGTGAGAAAAGGGGAGAGAATTAGAATGATTAGACAGTGATAGACCAAGATCTTACTTCTTGTTATAGACACACCCAGAAAAGACCCAGGGTCCACTCTATGAAAACCAGCGTCAGAGAATCACAAAGGGGTAGTTATTTGATTATGTATCTATAATACTTTTGTCATCTCAAAGGACCAAAATTTCTGGACTTAAAAACAAAGTGTTTTGTTGTTGTTCTGTTCTGAATGACGGGTGTTCTGAGACCAGCTGTAACAATGCAGCTTTAAACAAAGTGTCTACTATTTCAAGAAGCTAGGAGCCCTCAGGAAGTGCAGGGCTCACAGCTCAGAGCAGCATAATGGGATTCTCAGAGAGCTTCACTTGGCCAGGGTATTGAGAAGACAGAAGTGGGTCTTTTGGCAAGGGCCCATCATATTTCAGCCATGCCAAAAGTTTACCCGTGAGTCAAAGTGAAACAGGCCGCCATTCTGTCATTTAGGACAAACCAAGGATGTAATAACTCACCTTCACAGATGAGTCCCACCACTGACTCGAGCTGGGAATTTAGAGGAAAGGAGTGACCAGTTAGAAGACTATAGCGGCAACGCAGGAACCATGATGGCAGTGGAGTTTAAGAACGTCCACTGGCATTTGATAGTCGGTGGCCACAGAAACCGCCTAGACTCTGAATGGTGTCTCCAGGTACATGTGGAGAGGGAGGACATAGTGAGGTCTCTCTGCCACTGTTTCCTCATCACCCTGGATGGATGCTAGCTATTGTTATCCTTTGGAGAAGACTTCTGGAGGACACTCAAAGAAGAGGAAGGTACAGTGTTGTCTGTTGACCCACGCCTTACTCATTCTGTCTGGCATTTCAGAGGTTTCGTCAGTGACTTCCTTTAAGGCACTAGAGAAAGCTGTCTCCTTTATTGTAAATTTCCTTGGGAAGCCATGCACTAGCATGCACAGACTCATGCGTCAGTCTGGAACGACACACTGCAGTCTCATGGGTGAAAGACTGTCAGGTGGCAGGAGCCTAGCAACTTCTCTCTCTGCGTATCTTCCTGCCCTTCTCGTCAGCAATACCTCCCACACACAGCAGTCAGAGAGAGAGAGAAATGAGTCAGTGTGGCTCTGAGCACTGCCTAGACTTAGGGATCGTCCTGATTCCTCACACCATCTGAACAAGACCGGACCTTGATCTGGGCAACTGCCCACCCCTGTGCCCTCCTCCCTAGTTCCTTCCCTCTCCCCTCTGTTACACTAAGCTCCAGATACCCTGTAAGTTCCACTAACACTTGGCGCTCCTGCCCCAGTGACTGGGTACATTTGTCTGTCTGGCAGGCTTTCCATGCAAGACTGGCAGCTCATTGACTTCAGAGACACCTTCCCTGGGCTCCGTGGTGCTCCTTTAACAGACTCCTGGATCTTAGAAAAGCGTGCAAGCAAACATCTTCTTGATGGCCCTGAGAGTTTTACCTCTTCCTTATCATTTTCCATGTTTTCTGACAAGTCTATATTGTCACATTTTCGGTGGAAAATAAGCTCCCTGAGTACAGGGACGACAGCCTAGCTAGGAAAGGGGGACATGGTCTCTAGCCTGACCCATCAGGGATACTCGTGAATCATAAGATGAGGGGCATCACTGGCACTCTGTCCCATTGAAAGGCCCTCTCCTCCCTCTAGGGACACTCCACAAGGCTCTTTTCTTTACCCCATCACAGTGCTTAGTATTCTGAACACTATTGCTTACAGGTGGGATAAACTCCCCACAGAAGAAGTGCAGAACTGAACATGGGACGTCATGAAGCCTGCAGAGAAAGGACCTGGACAGTCTCCAGCTGCTGTCCTGGTCACCGTACTGGTCTCTCTATTACTGTGGTAGGGGATCTTAAGGACTGTCTCTAGGACCAAGTTGCAGACTTTGGTGACACTTCCCTGTACCCATGTCACCGATGTCTTTGGGTCAGTGTTCATATCTACAAAGGCCGAGTAGGATCCTAGGGGATCCTGGTCCTGTATTGTCTCAAGTTCGTTTCCCTTCTCATAGGTCTCCTGCTCCCATGAAGAGCAGATCCTCTGCTATGGTCATAAGGTGCCATCATATCATCCAGCCCTGCACACCAATCATGGCTTTACCTATGCTGGCCATCTTGGATAGACACCTGAAAACTTGAGGCGCAGCTCATCTGTCTGTCCCCTCTGCCTGCAAGCATCCCACCCCAGACCACTAGGTGATGGCCACTGACTCCTAAGCCATGGGTCCCTGTCCCTTGCTCTGTTGTGACAAGCTCTACCAAGCCCTAGGTCCCTGCCCCTTGCTCTGTTGTGACAAGCTCTACCAAGCCCTAGGTCCCTGCCCCTTGCTCTATTTGGACAAGCTCTGTTTAGGTGCAGAGGGCTGGGCATTTCCAGAGGGCAAGGAATGGATGGCACCTGACTCCCAAGTCCTAGGTCTCTGCTCCTTGCTTCTACTGGTACAGGTTCTGTCTAGATGCAGAGAACTGGGCTTTTCCACAAGGGAAGTATCCTATCTGCATACCCGCTTCTCAGGAAGAGATGGAAAGTCCTGTCTCACACCCCACAGGGACTAGGTCTCATTCTCAAGTTCATGTTCCCCTATCCTGAGTAGCTTCTACCATTAGAGAAAGCCACACAGAAAGCCTTGTATAAACAAGGTGGACTGGGTTGCTGTGGCAGGACCCTGTGCTGGCATGTGAAATTCCGTGGTCACCATACTCTGGTCACACAGACCTGATGGGATGCTAAGCACAAATGGCTAATAAATACTTGAGGCAATGTTCAACCTCATCTGGGGGCAATCACATACGAAACCTGCCATAGTCCATCTAACCCAAGTCAGAATGGACACTGTGAAGAAAAAAGAGGACAAGTGGCCATGAGGATATGGGGAAAGGGGAGCACTTTTCCCCATATAGGGGATTCACTGCCTAGCCGAGTGTGAACTTGGGGAACCACCATGGGAATGATTATGATGACTCCTCACAAACTAGACCTGTCGTTGTCACTCATGGTCATAGACTCCAAAGACTCTAAATCGACACACCACAGAGATGTTTGTGCATCCTTGGCTATGGCTGTGCTATGCACAACAGCCAGCACGTGGGAAATGCTAGATGAACCTCTGGGGATGCATACATGAACAGAGCAGTGTGCACACACACGGGATGGAACTGAAAGCAGCTGTAAAGAGGATTGCCATCATAGTACAAGAAAATGGATGCAACTGGAGACCCAGACTCAGAAAAATACCCATATTTCAGCAAGCATCCAAGATATAAAACTGTGTGTATGTGGCGGGGGGGCTAATGTTACTACAAGAGCATATATGTGCATATGTATGCGCTTGCATGTGTGTGTGTGTGTGTGTGTGACTGTTGGGGGAGAGGGAGAGAGAGTGAGGGAAGGAGGAAGAGGGAGGGAGTGAAGCAAGGAAGGCCAGACTTAGCAGGAGGATCATGAGTGCGAAGAAGAGCTCTTAATGTAGCCAGGAACTAGACTACAGGATACAAAGCAAAGGGAGGGGCTAACTGGAGAATGAAGGGGATCAGCTGGAGCAGTGCTGGGCATGGCAGATGGCAGGGGTGATGATGAAGTAGAACAAGGCATAAGGAATCCTGTATAAAGAAGTCAACATCAAGCCTATTACATTTTGCTTTCCATCAAATTTCACTAAAAAAAAAAAAAGCTGAAAACACACAGTCTTCTTGAGGGAAATTGTACAATGTAAAGAAGCACCTTGAGTTACTATAGGGGAGTCTAGAAGTCTTGAGGAAAGACACCATGGTTTGGACATTTCAATTTTTAAAACATATCCACATGATGCCACTGGTTTGTGGTAAACACGAGGCCATGTCTGAAATGGTAGTGCAGACAGAGGGCAAGTTGGTACTGACTCTCTTGGAGCTAGTTCTGTCTGACCATTTTCTTTATGTTGTGCCACAGATTTGTGTGTGGGAACCCACACTTGTATTTGCACTGATGTTCAAATCACTCTCTGCCATTTTGATCACTTCACCCCTTTATTGCACACGCTGAGTTGGGAGCAAGCCCACTGATACAGTCTCCTAGCTACCTTCCACTGTATGCATAGCCCTGGAGACTATCCAAGCTAGGTCACGTGGGTGCTGTCACACCACTGATCCCGGGACAGGCAGTAATTCCTTTGCCTGGATGCCTTCCCTCCTGCCAAGGCATGGAGCAGTTCCACTTCCTTTCACAACCCACTTGCGCATTCCCTCTCGAGCACAGCTGCCTTTGAGTCCTACCAGAACTCTCAACATCTGGTCCTCCTTTCTGGACTTGGGACTCCAGTCCCTGTTTTGGTCCATATTCTGCAGATTGTCAACTTGCCTGCTCCCTAAGCATTTAGCTCTGTGTGCCCCCATTGCTCTCCACACCTTAACATATCAGCAGTCACTGCTCTCTTTCCACACTCCCAGCCCCCAGTGCCAGAAGAACTAGCTGTTGACTGGGGACTCTGCATTTCATCCTAAAGAGATGTTTCAAGTCCTGTCTCATTTGCCTCCTGGGCAGGGATGAGCACTTCCTGGTTCTGGTCAGGGACCTCAGCACCTCAAAGGCATAGCTAAGAGTGAAGGAACACCTGGGTCTGGGCCAGGCCCTTCTCAGCGCCACCCCCGCGCGGCACAACCCACCCGGTGCCCCCCCCCCTCCAGTTGGCTTTAACTTACCTTTGAGGGCTGCCCTAGAGACTAGGTGCTCTTGATTTTCACTTCCTCATGGCAGAGGGAGCTGAGGCTCTGCAAAACCCCAGGTCCACAGTAGTCCAGGGGCTGGGGTAGAGACATGGAGAGGCTGAGGATGGAGTGGAGAGCCATTTCCAGTCCAGGTTCTGTGCTCCCCAGGAGAAAGAAGCTCGAAGGCAGCCCATATTCCTCTGTCTTCCAGACCTCTGCATCCCCAGGGACTGGCACAGGCTGCATGTAGAGTATTTGTGGCAGGGCGTTATGAATGAGCACACATTCTTTATTCTCTCTTTTGCAAATGTTGCAGAGTGGGGGTGGGGAGTGGGAAGGGGGAACAGACTCAGAAAATGGCTCAGCAGGCTGCGTGGGGAGCTGGGAAGACTCATGCTTTCCTGGGTGTCAGTGGTGGTGGTGACATTAGGTAGTGCCTGTGTGTGTGTGTGTGTGTGTGTGTGTGTGTGTGTGTGTTGTGGGAGGGAGAGAGAGAGACAGAGACACACAGAGAAACACACACACGAGATAGAGAGAATGTTGTTGCTATTGGGTCTGTGTGTGTGCTGTGTATGTGTGAGTGTTTGTGAGAGAGAAATGCTGTTGCCTCTATGTGTGTGTGTGTGCGCGTGTGTGCTGTGTATGTGAGTGGGTGTGTGAGAGAGAAATGCTGTTGCTTCTCTCTCTCTCTCT